CTGAAATCCTTGGACAACATGGCGGTGGCAGTGACATCCTGCGACCAAGGTCTGGACAGAAAGTGCTTTGCCTAGATGGCTCTCGGTTGAAGGTGCAGGGCCAGTGTCACGCAGCATTCAGCATCAGGCTGTATGGCTCTAAAGTGAAGAAGCTTCCAAAGGATACTGACCTCAAAGAGGCAAGTGCTGCCTTTTGCGCGGAACGAACTGTTGCTGGTGTGCCGTGCTGTTCTAAGCAGGAAGGACAAGCTCTCAAGTCCACCAGGGTCCATACAGCTTCTAAAGCTGGCTCCCTCACCGGCGGCGGTCTCACTCTAGGCCTGTCTTGAGCTGCCCAGAGCACGTGGCCTTGTTGTGACTGCGCATGATCCAGTGCTCAAGGGAGGAGGAAGCACTCTCGTGTTATAGCTTTGTGCCATGCGCCTCGCAGCTGCGATGGCTGCGGTGCAGGCACGAGCTGATGGTCAGTAGGTGGCTTTCTCGTGAAAGGGTGGAGAAAATATGTCTTTGAGGCACATGTCCCGTGCAGGGATTTGAATTGCTGAATCAACTGCCACTTGTACTGATGTCACCGCAATGCTGCTAGGGACATCAGGACTGGCTAGGTAAGCGGGTTTGTAGGACATCTACAGAGACTTTCTAAGTCTCACATCCTCCAGGGCCGGCCAGGGCTCAAGCCCAGCCTTGCCCTCAAAGCGATCACCGCGGGAACCTCATCTGCTGGCTTTGAGATTCAACGCAGCCCGTAGTCTAGAGAAGCCTTTTGCGTTGGCACTGAGGCAGGCATGTGCGGATTACTCTTGCTGAGGCAACGAACTCTTCAGGGGTTGAATGGACACTGGATTTTGATCTCTGAGCCTTCTTTGAGGCTGCATTTGAGCTGCATGCCACGCCTCTGTTTCGTGCCGGCCTGAGCCCTGCATGCCCTGCTAGCTGGAGACTGTGAAAACTGTGAAGCCAGCTTTTTAAAGCTGCTTTGACGGCAGCGCCTTAAGGCAAGCTCTCCAAGCCTGAGGATCTCGCGAGGTAGCTTGGCTTTGCTTGGCTTTGGAGGTGTAGGCGATGACCCGAGTGCTGAAGACTTCACAGGAGGTGCCCTCCAGGATGAGCACATACATAGACCACAGGACCGCGCCTCAGATGCTCACCATACCTTTGCATGCCGGGTCCTTCATTCCAACCCTTTTTAGCAAGGTAGCGGCTGCGCACGGCAGGCAAAGAGAACTGAGATAACTGATGGAGCATTGATGTCAAATGTTAGCACATATGCCAGCTGTGGCCAGTCTCAGTCATGCTCTTGCTGGAGCTGCTCCCGCGGTACTTCTGGCTGGAGCCAGTGGCCTCTACCTTGGTTATTTTCGAGACAGAGGCATTGCCGGCGAACTCTGATGCCCCAAGGTGCTGCAGCCAGTCGTCGGCGCAGGTTCAGCGCAGGCCGGCAGCTTGGCATTTGCACCTGAAGCCGAACTTTTGCAAAACTGCTTCAGGCTCAGAACCCTTAACACAGCAATCGCGAACATTAGATGCAAGCATTGTCTATGTCCCGCAGGCAGGAAAGTTGCACAGTCGGACAGTGAGGCTCGGGCCTGTACATCGCACGATGCCTGCTTAACTCACGCAACAGAAGTACTTCTGCTTGTTCACCTGCAGATGGCGCGCGATCCAGAAGCGCCGAGCCCAAAGGCTGGAGCCTTGGCATGAGCGTTGCCCGTTGTTGTGTGCCTATCTGCAATGCTGCTGCACCAGGGCCAGATTCACATAGCATAGTTGCAGATGGCATGCACGGGTTCTCTTTTGCTGCGAAGGCAGCAAGAACTTCCAGGAGTCGTCTCCCAAGACTTAGGCATCTGCACTTGCACGCAGAAGCGGAATACGTCCGCAATGGCTTTTGTTAAGGTCCAGAGAAGAATGGCCCCAAGGAGATCATCAGGAAGTTGAAGGAACCTCTGCTGTGAAGATGACTAGCCTTTGCACATGGCATCATTAGCACACCACATCTCCTGAAAACAGAGGAGGACCCGGAGTTCCAGGAGGAGCGCTTTAAGAGTGGCTTTGTAAATGAAGGGTCACAGTATCCCAGTACCAGTGCATAACAAAATCACCTCACTGCTATGGAATGGGTACAGAGCAGCTACCCAGATTTGCATCACTCGAGGCTTGCCAGGAGAAACCTTTACCCCGATCATTCGGCTCGATCATATGATGTGAAGAGAATCTCAGAAGTAGCACTAGTTTAGTAGACTGAGTAGATAAGACAGCGTAAAGCTTGATTTGGTTCATGAGCGATGCAGGATGTGAAGACATTCTTCACATCACTCACAGTGGCCCTCAGCCCGGCCTTGCTTCTGTGCCGCTCCCATTGTGGCAGAGAGTGCTGTGCCTCCAGGCTCTCTTGATTCGGGGATTTCTGGTTGAGCTCATCCCTCAAAGTCCCTGCGTCATGACGAGTCTGACGGTGGTCTCTGCTGTGCCAAGGCCGAGGTTCATCCCTTCCCTGTCCATGTACCCCAACTTTGACATAGGCTCGTCATATGATGCGATGAGGGGGCAATCCCGCCACCAGTTGCAAGATCAACGGCTACATGTGTATAGGCGACCAGCTGACCGTGGACAAAATCTCAAAGCGTTGGATCCTGGTCTCAAGAGATTGATAACATATCTACGCTTGAGACATGCATTTCGGGCAGCTGATGGTTTTTGCACTTGACAAGGCGCGAGTACCAACGCAGGGACGTGGTTGTTTTCAACCCGCCGCCGGCATTCAGCGCTGTTGTCGGCCTTGACCTTGGGTAGCGAGATCCAGGGCTAAATGTTTGAAATGTTAGAGCAGACGTGTGCCCAGGTGGAGACAGGTCCGGCGATGCCCTGATCAAGCGAATTGCTGCCGGCTTAGGAAGTAGCAAGTCCTAGCCCAACCCGGAAGCCAATGAAGCAGTGTTGCACGTGTTTCACCGTGAGTCACCAGGCATCGCTGTTTGATTTGTTTAAGCCTGTCCGCATTGCCCTGAATGCAGGTTGCTTTGGCTGGGGACACGGTCGAGATAAAGAATGGAGGAACCTTGTGCCCCACCTGCTCCACTTGCAGCAGCAGAGGTCAGTGCTGGTACCGCCATACCCCCAACCTGAGCGGGCTCGAAAGGTACCTCAACGGGGAGCCACAGGACGAGCCATTTACAAATGAGGCCTATCATGCTTTGCAATGCAAGTCTGCAGTGTGATCATGCATGCTAGTCTGCTAGGCTGCGAAGTACGATTTTGGACCCGTGACAGTTCCAGAAGGATGTGTCCTTGTCCTTGGTGACAACAGGCAGGTGACCAAGCTTTTGGACTGGCTGAAGCTGTGCAATCAATCGGCCGAACCATGGTGAAGGAACCAATCTTTGGACGGGCACGTTTGGGGGTTCCTGCCCCTTGAAAATATCATTGGCCTGAGCCCTAGCATGAGAACATATGAGAACTTGCCTGGCAAAAACCGTCAACGCAACTTGTGATTGCCTCGGATGAGACCAAGGACGAGCAACCCTGAAATTTTGGCCACCATGGCATGTAGGTTCCATTGTTGCGGCTCCGCCTTGAGCTGCCACTTGGGCAATGCTAATGTGCAGCTGATGTGAATAGTGAGCTCCTGTTCCAAGGAGCTCTTATCATAACGTGCCATTTGCGCCGCATGACAGCAAAAGACTTGCATGTTCATGTGCCGACCGTGGCGTCATCCAGCGCAGTCCAGCGATGCCATGATCATGGCAGCTGGCTTATGTCTGCCGTTTTTGTATTATTGGCAGTGACTCGCGGCACCAAGACCCAAAAAGCGCATGGCATGCACGATGGCGCTCTGCATTGCTGAGCCGTACATTGAGAGCGTTCGGTTCGTGCATTCCAGTGGCCTGGAGATTGATAGAGACTAGGCAAGCCTGTGCTGTTATGAACAGGACCAAGCTCTAAAGGATCGGGCAGGCTTTCTGGTGCTGTGCCGACATCTCAGGCAAGTCTTGCAGAATGATATGTGCAGTTGCCAAGTTGCTGAGCCATCTACCGTAGTCAGGTCCTTAAGACCGGGCGGCACCTTGGCACCACCTTTTGCGGGCGCAAACAAACCAAAGGAGGACTGAAATCGCTGAAGCTGTCATCTCCAATCTGTTGAAACGTTCTCTATGCCTGGCCGAAGGAAAGCAAGCCGGCTGAGGCCCTCGATGGCTTTGTTGTGCACTCTCCTTCATTTTGTATTTCCATACAACTAACAGGTGGCAAGCCTTGTAGTGTTGGCAAGTTGGCTGCTCCATGCTACTCCTTTGTCTTGCAGCTTTGTGTTGAGGAGGTCATCGCGCTATTGACGTAGCCGTGTCGAGACACAAAAACCATGCATGCTTTTGCCATGGTAATGGACTCACTAGTGAAGAGCAGGGGCATTGACCTGAATGACCATCCGGGGAGGAGCCAGCTCAAGATCTGGAGAATTGCTTGTGGTCAGTGACTTGGGGCTGCCGCATCAACAGTGTTGGTTTTCTGGAAATGACTAAGCTGCCCAGGGGCCGGATTGTCAATGTGTACGGCGGCTTTGGGTTTCTCAAACAACTTGGAAATGACAGCGACACGGGAGATATCTTCTTTCGCGCTGCCGACGTCATAGGCGGGGCATGAGCAGACGCTGTGGAAAGAGCTTGGCTGAGCGGTCCAAAAGCAGCGCTCTGGGAAAAGGACTGAATTGCCCGGAGCCGGGCAGCGCTACAACCGAATGCCGCGGCCTGAGAAAGTGGCGCACACTTCCCCGAAGTCTGTTGAAATCCAGGGGGTTTGTCTGACAGGTTTGGAGATCAACCTGAGGACTCGATGGAGTGTTTTCAAACGTTCGGACAGAGTCAACACTGCACACGGCATGCTTCTCTGTAGTGCTCGGATGCCAGCACTTGAGAAGTTACTGGTTGTTGAAATCGATTCTGAGCAGGAACTCCAATGGCGCCAAGAAATTTTACATCAATCTTGAAGACGAGGTCTCTTTCGTCATGTCCAAGGAGCTTGCATGGCCTGCGGGAGTTCAGGGTCAGGTGTAGGGTCACCCTTCTTTACTCTTGTTCCATTGGCATTCCAGCTGTGCATGCCGAAGGAACGGTATACAGATATAGAGGACTGCATAGAGGACTGCAACGAGTAAAAGCCACCCACCTCAGGACTATCCACTTGCAATTGTTCTCGCTTTGTTGACGAAGTGCCCGCGCCGTGATACCTAGACTTCGCAAACTTCTTGGCAACGTGGGATTTGGTTCATCAAGTAGTGACCGGCAGTCACCGGAGTACAACTGGTGGAAACAATTTCAAAAGGCCTTCAGCCTAGCATGCTACAGATGTGTAAGCACAGGTGTTGTCCTTAGGTGCATTTTTAAGGTCGAGTAAGAGAGGGGATCTCGTGAGTCATGCAAAAACATTGGGCTCCAAGCTTCATCACTGTCACATGGCTGCTGAGACGACTATAACCATGCTGACGCGCTTTGAGGAGAAATTTACCTCCATGGCACTGCCTGCAGCATCTTGCAGCCCTGAAATCTACAGAAAAGCATCAGAGATGTAGGGGACATCTAGGCCCACCATTTTGGGCTCTCAGGACCTTACCGGAAAGCCATGTGCCGCTTCCGTGGTGAAGGCTTGGTTGTAGCGGTTCTCCGCCCTTTCTGCCGCCCAGACGGCTAAGGAACGCAAGGGCGCTTGGAGAACAAACCGGGGTCGGCGACTCCCTGGCGCAAAGGATGCAAAGAAAGAAACCATCAAAGACCAGGCGAAGTCGTTGTGCATGCTTGACCATGATACAAGAATTGAGAAAGCTAATGTGTTCTTCAGTGCTTGCAACGATAGCCTTCCTTCTTTTGAGGTCAAACGCTTGACAGCGATGGACACAGACCAGGCTGGTGCCATCAAGCTTGCATGGCATTCCGTATTAGGGCCCTCCAAGACCCTGCGGTCGTCCTTGAAAAGTGCAAAACAAGATGATAAAAGCGTGCACAACGACCCCTCGCAACAAGGGGGGGCCGCGAGCACAACAAGTATCTTGAAAGCTGTAAGGATAAGTCCCACCAAAGTTTTCAAGAGCACTTTTGCGCGCAAGGATGGCGCAAGGTCTACGCAAGGGCGTAGCGGGGGCATTTCGGGGATAAGATGAGGCGTCGGAGTTCGCATCAAAACGTGAATCGCCGAAGCATGTACAGCACGATTACACATGAAAGATCCTTGGTCTTGCGACATCTTAGGAAGAACCTGAGCTGTGCTTGTTTGCTGAAGTGCAAACATCACGGCTGAATCAGACTATAAAGCAGGTCTTGCAGAATGCAACCCTTTTCAAGGACATCCTTGACAGCCGGGGCCCTGAAGTGGAGGGCGTAGGAAGTCCCAAGCCAATCTGAACCGCTAAGGTGCAGACTTTGAAGGGTCGCATCTGTACAAAGTCATCACCATGTTAGCATCCAAGGAGCCAGTTGCTGCTTCACGGGATTTCTTTTGGTTGTTGTTGCACGTACATGTACGTGACATGCAGCCTTCAAAGCACTTTGAAACAGGACTTGCTGGAAGACACTCGCTCGGATCGAATTTATCGCCTCTTCCTGGAATCAAATGCGATGCAGGTGTGGCCTCAGGTGCATCTCCAAAGTATCACAAGCAAGAAGATCCGATTGAGTTGCCAAGGCTTGCCTGCGAACAACGATTATCAAGCAAGGCGCAGGCTGGATTCATGCACTTCGATAAGTTTGGCCGACTGCGCAGACTGATCTGCAGGACGTCATCAAGGAAATTTTCTGGAGGACTTTTGTGTCCCAAAGCCATTGAACTTGCTTGATGGACAAGCGATGACAGCTGGGCACGCGGTGCTTTCACGCCTTCTGAGCATGCTTATGCATGTGTGCGGAAACCCAGATAAGATCATTGATGTGCGTTTCTTTGAACATGATCAGCAATTGTGGTAGCAGCAGAAGAGCATTGTCTTGAAGTGAGCTGCTGAAACATTCCTATGGTGTGCGATGGACAAGCCTTTACTGTCCTTCTTGCTCAACAATTTTAGTGTTCACGGCGAAGATCCAGCACCACGAGTTGACATGCATTTAATGAGACTCGAACATGTAATGCCGTGTTTTCCATTGCGCAGGAGTGCTTGAAGGTCATGGTTGAAATCGTGATGCGCAGCGCGGCCCCAAAGGCACGGGGAGTTCAACTAGCCCTCCAGGAGCCTTATGTTGCCTTCTCACCTTGCAGGAGCTGCGTGGTCAGCTGCCTCTGGTTGAACTGATTGAGGCGCTGCTTTTCTCTCAAATGCTTCTACATCGCATGCTTATCTCATTCATCTCAGGGTGGTAGCCTTACTGACTCTGTAGTTTCAATTCTTCCATTCTCTCTTGTAGTCCAATCATGGGCCGCTCATGGGGGCATTTGGGACTTGAGCACAGAAGACAATGGCTATCACTTGGCTCAGACGAGAGATGCGTAGCGCATCAAGAGCGCTCTTTTTCCAGACCCCAGCTGCTCCTCAAGCCTTTGCACTGGCTGCAAACACGCTGCAGATGCAATAAGTTTAAGGCTTTTGGTCAAGGTTCCATGTTTGGGAAAGGCGGCATGCCCAATTAGCTGTCCCCCAGCGCCATCACAATCTAGCTGCCCCCAACCGCTGCCAGTTCGGTGGCCGACATTGAGCCGATAAGCCATCACATGCGCAAGTGGACAGCTGGACATGCATCAACACGCTGATCCAGATTTATCTGCGCCTGTGCCAGGTAGAAGCACATATTCAGATACACATACAGATGCTGCCGCGGACCGTACGCTTAGGGTCAGCACTGTCGCGTAAAGAAGATCTTAGCCTGGCCTAGCAAAATCATGTACATGAATCTGTCGTTCTTTGTGCTTTCCCGGCGCTCCATGGCATGGCCTCTGCTTCTCTGCGCTGGATGTCTGGACTTTGCTGTGCAGACGCCTTACACCACGTGGTGATTTGCGCGCAGTTGCATGAAAGACTGCAGCTGTAAGTTTCAGGAGAGTCCTGCGAACGGGTTTGCAGGTGATTGGCCTGACGGCTGTGGTATACGTGGCTCAAGCTGGATCTCGTGACAGCGCTGTTCACTCCACAGCCCCTGGGCGCCACAGTGGTCACAATATGACGCAACAGGGATCTTTACTGCAGATATTATGGTAAGATATGGCAATGGTGATTTCGAATGTGTATTCATTGCATCGCAAGAGCTGCAAGGTTTCGGCTTCTGCCACGATACAGACAGGTTCCATGTCACGCGTTTTGAAGGATCCGGATACATACGAGGCCATGCAAACGTGTTTGCCTCCCATGCTTCTTACTGGCACGAGATGTGCTCTGCCTGGAGGCCTTGGTCTTTGTCCCGCCAGGGAAGCCTCAGAAACTTCCGCTTCTTCTCTACCTCCATGGCGCTGGGGAGATGCGAGGCAGCCTTCAAGAAATCATCTCCGAGGCAGATGTCTCCATGTCTTGCACTTTGAGAGTTTTCATTTACCTTTCCAATTTTGGCGCGGGCATGCCCACGTGTCGGATCCATTCGGATCCTGTCCTTGCGAATCTTACGACAGGGAGGCTACATTGAGTCTCAGGTTTAGTATTAGGCCGCATCACGGCAAAGACATTTGTTTTGCTTGGCGTGTTCAGCCCTTCCTGTTGATCTTATGTGCAGCATCGTTTTGGTTCGGCTCAAGTGAAATCGATGACCAGGAGGAGGAGGGAAGAGGAAGAGGAGGGATGTTCTGGTTCAGTTGCCTTTAGCTTGTAGGCTGCTCGATGGATGTGAAGGGCCTGAAGGAGTGTCTGCTGCTGTGTGGACTCCGCTATGCCTCCATTAAAGTTGTCTGGAGAATCATTATGCAGCTGTTACGTATCAGCCAAACTACGCTAGCTGTACGAGAAAACACATACAGTTAGTGGCGCAACCTTCACATAACAGTGCGCTGGCTTTTTTGTCTTTTTTTCGATGTGCTGTATGCGTGTGAGCTGGAATGCTGCAAACTGCGGTGGCCTCGGCTTCGGCCAATAAAATCTAGACCATGTAACTTCACGTTCTCATTCTGCCTGGGTGTGTTGCGCAACGTTTGGGATTCGCAATGGATGCCTTGGGATAGTGAACATGGTACTTAATTACTTTCAAACTGCAGTCCGATGACGTGGCTGGACAGAAAATGGCCAATATACGGTTCTGCTCCAGGGGGCGACGGGCACGCCTCCTGTGGAGCTGACATACGCAAGAGCACCGGAAGCGCTTTCCACACGCCCCTGGGAAGCACTGATTTGGCCAATGCTTGGTCTCAAGTTGTTGACCTTGAAGACGGCTGGAGTGCATGCCATGAAAGGCTTCATAGTGGTGGCGCCTCACACTACGCAGGCCTGCCGGATCTTGCCGCAGGCTTTGCTTCACCTGTTGCTGATTCTTGCGTTGGACCCTACCTTATTGGGAGCACGTTTCCTGGTCCACACAAAAACAGAGATGAATTCAGTCATCTTATGCTATCTTGCTATCTGTTGTGCAGGGCTGGCAAGTTGACCAAGTCGTGAAGTTTCTGGACTTCTTGCTGTCGGAGACTTCTGGCTTGAATTTGGATCCGACCAGGCCATAGATACGTGTTGCCAGCAAGAGTGTTAAGGCAAAGCTCACTGACGGTTTGGGAGGTTGTACGTGACTGGTCACTCCATGGGCGGAGCAGGCGCCCTCTTCGCTGCAACGAGCCACAGCACCTTTGAAGCAGTTTCAATCCTTGCAGAGTGTGCAGCAACACCTGGTGTTAGTTGTACCAGTCAGAACACGACCAGGATTTGCAGCCGCCGTTCCTGTTGCGCCAGCCGGCGCACCTTCGTGGGAGAGCATCAAAGGATTGGTGCATAGACTAGCCGGGCCTGTCAGACTTTGGCGCTGCACGCCAGAAGGAGTGCCCATTTGGGCTTTCCACGGCAGCAATGACGTGATTGTTCCCAGCTTCATCACAGCAGAGCTTGTCCAAGCTTTGTGGCAGAGAGGTGCCGGCAAGGACGTTCCATGGAAAAGGCTGCGAATCCTATCCATTCTTGTTGCAAGCATTGCCAAGCAAGGAGCAGGTCAAAATGACGCTCTACGATAATGCCCCTGCACCTCCTGGCTGGCCTGACTATTTCGGCCACGCAAGCACGATCCCAGCCTACGTGTCTTGGCGGCATCTGTTTCGTATGCTCTCCCCTTCTTATAGGAGACTCTGCACAAGCTTGCACTACCAAACGTGCGGATGCGGCAAATGACTATCAGCCGGTCCGTTTCCAGGAGAGCCTCATAGCTAAAGAGTCGATCCTAAACGTATTGTCCAGAAACGTAGCAATGCATGCTAGTTTGTCACACGTGGGCATGTGCCACCACCACATCTGCCACATGTTATTCCCTCGGCTGCATTTGACGATGTTATGTTGTGGCCCATCTTCGTGAATGATATGCTGTTAAATGGCCAGAAGCACCTGGTGAACGTGGGGCTTGATCTAGTTTCAGCGCATTCTTTGCAACATTTTGTGGAAATACTATGTGCATCCACTCCAGAACTCCAGAACGCTCTTCCATTCACTTCATGAGGCTGAGCCGGGCCTCTATGATTGGCTTCTGCAGCAGCAGCTGACTCCCGAAGCAAGATGAAATTGGCGTTCATGAGGTAGAGACGTGCCCCAGAGACATGAGTCACGATATCTGCAGCCGCATGCTTAAAGACCTGGCAATCGCAACTAGAGTTCGCCGCTTGTTACAAGCAGTGTCAGCATAAGAGAAGGAGGAACCTTCTTCACACACAGCTACTCCCTTCTGAAGAGCTGCCTCTTCGAAGATTCCACACCCACACCTGAATCAGAAAAGGAGCTCGCCATCGTTTCGCCGCAGCCTCCATGCATGCTACCATGTGCGACATGTTTCTTTCCGATTGGACTGTGTAGCTAGTGCCCCTGATGCCGAGCGGAACCCGTCCGCGCAAGCGTGCTGATCGCAGCAGGGCATCAGAGGAGGCGTGATCTAACTCTTCCGGATGCATGCTGTTGTTTTCCAACATTTTCAGCAAGTGAGAGAGTAGCAGTCTTGCCGCTGTATCCAGGAATCAAGTGCCGAAAATGAGCAGCCGGCGAGCTCAAGAAGAGTTGCAGCTGCTTTGGGCATTTCCACCATCGTAGCTGGCCTCGCAGGCGGCTAGTTCAAAAGCTGATGTTTTTTTGTTTTTTTTTGCGCTTCGCGTTGTCATGTGGCCGTGTGCAAGACTTCGGCAGAATTTGGTTCTGGAACTTGGCAGTAACGGGACTAGTGGTTCGGCTTCGTTACTTCCAATGATGCAGCTTTTTCGAGATTTTTAAGGCCGGGTTCCTGCAAGTAGCACCTAGCCGCGTGTCAAGGCCCTGCCTTGGAGGATGGCATACATAAAATGAAAGTTGGATTGTAAAGGATGTAACACACAGCTGCCAAAGTTGCGCTCGGAAACACCATCTCATGGCCATCTGAACCCTACGTGAGCAAAGAATATTGGCTGCCTCACGGTCAGATTCAGCTTCGCATGGCATTGTCTTGGCCATTGGTAGTAGGTGGCCTTTCTGCCTTTGCTCTTCTCCTCCCAGCCCTGCCTCAGGAAGTCAGTCAAATTCGCAGCAAGAAGGAGCAAGAGCGGGTAGCCCTTGAGACCCTATGCCGTGTATGCCCGATTCTCCTATTCTTCTTTCATAGGCTCCGAAACCATGGCAATGCACACGCCTGGCAACTGCAGACGAGAGCTTTGGCCAACACCGCCCCGCCACCGTTACCGTCACCATCACCACTCCTGCAGATGCCACTGCTGCTGGCTGTAAGGTCTACAGATCGACTGATGTTCGGGCTTCAGCGCTTAGTTCATGATTGGTTGTTAAACCATCTTGTGCCACTGCGCTTCATGATGTACTCGCAATGTGCTGACGGAACACCTGAAATGTTAACTTCTGGGAAGTCTTTTGTGCATGCCTTGTTGCCAAGCACCACTTGTGGTCCGCTGATTGCCCATGCCACGCTTTGATTGTTTTACAAACGATTTTCCGTTCAGAATAGGCAGGACAGTTCAAGGTGGCATGCCACCCCATCTACTGAGTTGACTGAAAACTGATGAAGTCTGCTCGCATCTTCACAGCCTTGAAGGGTCTGTTGGCACAGAGCTGGATGCAGTGTATCTGGCGTCAGCATGGCTTTTTTGAAATGCACTACAGGCAAGTGGCTACTAGATGCATCGACGCAGACAAGCACTGGCTCCAACACAGTCCCCAGGATCTACGATTTCGATGTGGTCCGGGGCTCACAGCCTCTGTGATATCTGCAACGCGTAGCAAATACGGTGCTCAACACAACAAGATACTCGCGGGCATATTGCACATGAGGTTGAGACTTATTCGCACGACCCAGAGGCGTTTACGCAAGGTCTTCTTTGGTCCAACGGATCACTCTATGAGTCCACTGGGCTGTATGGACGCTCAACGATTCGAGAGCTTCAGCTGGGACCTGAAGGTGGGGCTCTCAAAGCAACTCCATAGCTTGTTGTATCACAGCGGGAGGCGAGGTTCGGATGGTGAGAAAGCTCGACTTGAATGGCCGAGACTTTGGAGAGGGGCTGGTGCAGAGGAGGTGGATTTTGAGCGTGTGTTTGCGCCTTTTGCCACACGCTTGAGTGTTTCAATTCATCGGCTTGTTAGGGGACAGCTTCTCCAGCTTCTATGGCGACGGGGCGAGGGTATCCGTTCCTCAGCAGAGCATTGAAAGTGACGCGAAAATGTCCGAGTGTTGCAAGACTTCTCTCAGGATATCACGCTCGTGCAGGCGAGGGTGGTAGATTGAAGAAAGTTGACACCTTCCGAACCCCTTTGAATGATGGCTGGGGGCAGCTTGCATGAATCCAGAAGACTGCACCAGCTTCAGTTCCAAGACTCGGACCCCGAAGCAACGCAAGGATAGAAGCGGACGATGACCAGTTGATCCTCACGGCCGCTGGCTATGCTGGTCTTGCATAGGGCGTTCAGTGCTGCGTGGCAATACATGGCTCTCAGGATAGCGGTCACGAGTTGATCACGCTGGATGACAAGCTTCAAGAGGTGAAGCGAGCAGCTTGACTGACTGAGCTTCATGAAGTGAATCGAATGGTGTTTCATAATATCACTTTTCTCGACTCTCCTCGTCCGCACTTTTCCGGACCCCGGATCCGGACCCGGACCCGGACCCGCACGCGGACCCGGCCCCGTATTGCCAGACCCGGTCCCGGATCCGGATTCGGACCGGTCCTGCTCCCAGACCCTGACCCGACCCTTGGAATCGGGACAGACCTGGACCCCGCACGGTCCTGACAGTTATGCATGTGTTAAAAAAAGTCCAAATTCGAAAGCACTTCAACATTTCTCCACCAACTTTCCGATACCAAGACTGTCCTACATTTTTTGACAGCCCTGTAAATTCAGTGATAGTTCTACGTTTGCCGACACCAGACTTGCAAAAGCCACGACGGATCGACATTGCTTTTGGAAGAGAACCATTCAACGACTTCTATATCTCTGTACAACAAGTTTGCAACAATGAAAGATCTGCATTTTTCCCGTTCAAAGCTTTCAGTGTGTGGGTTTTTAGAGTTGGTGTTTTTAGGGTCAGAGTTTTTGGGGTTAGAACTTTTAGGGTTAGTGTTTTTAGGGTTAGTGTTTTTAGGGTTAGGGTTTTTAAGGTTCGGGTTTCTAAGAGTTACGTAAGGCTAGAGTTTTGAAAGTTAAGGTTTTTAGGGTTAGGGTTTTTAGGGTTCGGGGTTTGAGGGCTAGGATTTTCGGGTTAGGGTTTTTGATGTTATTTGTGGGGTTACGGTATTTAGCGTCAGGGTCTGTAAGGGTTGGGGCTAGGGTTTTTAGGGTTAGGGATTTTAGGGTTAGGGTGTTTTAGGGTTAGGGATTTGAGGGTTAGCGTTTTTAGTGTTATGGTTTTATGGTTAGGGTCTTTAGTGCTTTTTAGGGTTAGAGTTTTTTAGGTTCGTGTCTTTAAGGTTAGGGTCTTTAGGGTTACGTTTTGTGGGGATGTGGCTTTTAGGGTCAAGGATTTTAGCGTTAGTGGTTTGAGTTATTGTTTTTGCGGTTAGGGTTTTCGGGGTTAGGGTTTTTAGGGTTAGGGTTTTTAGGGTTAGGGTTTTTAGGGTTAGGTTTTTAGGGTTAGGGTTTTTAGGGTTAGGGTTTTAGGGTCAGGGTTTTTCGGTTTATGGTTTTCAGGGTTAGGGTTTTCAGTGTTAGGGTGTTTAGGGTTATGCTTTTGAGGGTTAGGGTTTTCAGGGTTAGTGTGTTTAGGGTTAGGGTTTTTAGGGTTATGGCTTTCTAGGTTTAGGGTCTTGAAGGTTCGTGTCCTTAAGGTTGGGGTCTTTAGGGTTACGTTTTGTAGGGATATGGCTTTCAGGGTCAAGGTTTTTAGCGTTAGAGGTTTTTGACTTCTTGTTTTTGGGGTAAGGGTTTTCGGTGTTAGGGTTTTTAGGGTTAGGGCATTTGGGATAGGGTTTTCAGGTTAGGATTTTAGGTTAGGGGTTTTTAGGGTAGTGTTTGGGGGCTAGGGTCATTAGGTTTAGGGTTTTTAGGGTTCGGGTTTTGAGGTTTAAGGTTTTTAGGGTTTTGAAAGGCTAGGTTCAGGGTTTTCAGGGTTAGGGTTTTTATGGTTAGGGTGTTTAGGGTTAGGGTTTTGAGAGTTAGGGCTATTAGGGTTAGGGTTTTAGGGTTAAGGCTTTTAGGGTTAGGGTTTTTAGGGTTAGGGCTTTTAGGGCTAGGGTTTTTAGGGTCAGTGTCTTTAAAATCAGGGTCTTCAGGGTCTCGGTTTGTAAGGCCATGGTTTTTAGGGTCAGGGTTTTTAGGGCTAGGGTTTAAGGGGTTGTGTTTTGAAGGTTAGGGTTTTCAGGGCTAGTGTTTTTAGAGTTTTGGTTTTTCGGTTTATGGTTTTTAGGGTCAGGGTTTTAAGGGTCAGGGTTTCTAGGGGTTGTGTTTTGAAGGTTAGGGTTTTTAGTGTTCGGGGTTTGAGGGCTAGCGTCTTTAGGGTTTGGAATTTAGGGTTAGGATTTCTAGGGTTAGGGCCGGTTAGTGTTTTTAGGGTTGCAGGTTTCTAGGGCTAGGGTTTTTAAGGTTTAGGGTTTTAAGGGTCAGGGTCTTTAAAGGTAGGGGCTAATTTGGGGTTAGAGACCAAGACGGATCCGGACCCGGACCCGCATCCGGACCGGACACAGATCTGGACCCAGACCAGGACCCGGACTTCGCAAGAAAAATGATATACTCTGGTGTTTGAATGACGCTGGCCATCTGACGTTTTTGTGCTTAGGTCGACGTCAAGGATGGGGATGCCGTCATAGAGATGGTGAACGAACTGGAGATGGTAGGAGCGGGTCTCGCTCTGACGCCGTGCCGTTGTGGGCTGAGAGAGGAAGCCACAGCACACTGCGCCTGTCAGGAGCGGAGCTTTGGGCTAATGTCTATGGGACAGAATGCCTTGCGCGCATTGACAAGCAGTCTGGATCTGTCACGGGCTGGGTTCTGCTCCATGGGCTCCTGGAGAGGGAGCGTCCCTGGACCAAATTATCCCAGCTTCCAGCTCGTTTTGAAGTTTTTGCTCGGAACGAGAAGCCCTGTTTTGGTAGTCAACCCTGCTACTGTTGTCCTTACGCCTTCATGCCTTTGCTAGCTCTGATGTGAGCGCGCGACTGCCCACGTCAGAGGGCTCCAAGTGCAGCTTGATCAGCATCATGTAAATGCCGTGACAACACCATTTCAGTTGGTTTGTGCCCCACCTGGTACAGCTAAGCTTCTCCACGGTCAGCCCCCGGCTTCTCTCTTTGCCCCTCGGTCCCCCGTACTCGATTTCTAGTGCTGCCTCACATGCTCACCCGTGGATAGCCCTTGGTTTATCTCTGCCGCTCTCCTTTTGGCTCTCTACACTTGCCTCCTCTTAAAGGCGGAGTTAGTATGGCAGTTGATATAAGGACCTAGTCAACTGTCTCAGCAGCTCACAATGTTTTGGAAAGCTTCAAAGTGGGAAGCAGCCAGAAAAACCTGCTGCTCGCTTGTCGCCGTTCCTGCATTATTCTTTAGGGTTCCTGTTGTTTCTTGTTTAGCTTAAAAGCACCTGCCTCAGTGCAGCATGGGATGGCGACTCCACAGCAGGAACTGCAACCCGCAGCCAAGGTGAAACCTGGCAAGCCACAGGTGCATCTCGCGACGCTCCTGACGTACTGAACGGCATTGCCTGGGATCCCGATAGCAAGCGCCTCTTCGCTTCTCGAAGCAAGTAATATTTCTGAGTTGTACAGCTCCGAAAGCAATTTGAAACTTGCACGGATGTTGTGATGCATGGTATTGAGCAGAGTTTGCTGTAACACCTGTAATCTTGTACATGCATGCGGACCTCTCTTGGACTCACGCAACTTTCAGTGAAAGTATGTCTAGCCCTAACATCTACACGTCATCTCCTGATGAATGACATATGACCTCTGCGCTCTGTTTATGTAGGATGAACATACCACGTTATCCAAGAACAGCTCTTGAGGTTACCGGCAAGTTGTGGCCTCACCTGTATGAGATCAGAGTGAAGCCTTCGCAAGCAAACGTAGAAACCGCTAGGCGGCTGTGTATACCCAAGTCGAATCTGTTCCGACGGTAAGCTGACTCCAGCGCACGGAAAATGAAGCCGACGCGTCAGTTGCTTCACGAAGAATGAGAACGCATGAGTGATAAGTTACATGGCATCACAAGCCTGAGTTAGAATACACTGAACACTGGAATGGCAAGCAATCAAGGTGACGCATCTGAACACTCCTACAGTTGCAGTTCCTCAAATACACCAATAGCCGCAGTGCTACATGCGGGAAAATGCTTTCTGCCCTGGCAATGATGACTTATAATGCAGGCCTGGGAGAACAGTGTTCGAATGGGCTCTTCCGTGGCACGCAAAGGACAAACTGCCTGGATCAATCATACGTGGAAGCTCTAGATGTCCAGTCGCATGCTGTAGGACTATCAGAGGATGTCATCACTATGCTTAAATGCTTGGAGAAGACGTTCCCCGAGGAGGCAACTCGTGCTTTGCCCATGGGACAGGTTGTTTTAAGCCTTGGAAATTTGAAAAGGTCTCCTTGGACAGGGCCACCATCTCAGAACATCTCAGAACAGCCGAATGCGCAAAGTTCTCGTTATTTGTGCAGCTTGCCCCAAAGCCAGGTGCTCGGTGCCAAGGCCCCGAAGAAGCAGAGGACAGTGGCCGAGGACGCTACAGAGATCCTGGAAGCAAGCCACTACGAGGACCTGAAGTATTTTGCCATGCATGCTGCCCTGTCATCAGCACTCCGCAAGAAGTGCCACAGCCTGACAAACAGAGCTTTTTGGCGTGCACCTCTGCTGGTCTGCCATTGCCCCTCTGAACATTGACGGCATGCAACACGCAGGAAATGCCGATTCTCCCCACATCAGCAGAAATGCAATGAGCTCGGCATGTTGATCAGTCTGCATGTCATGCTGTTGTTATCAGGACAGCGACTGCCGTTTGACACATGTCATGGCCAATTGGTTGCGCAGAGGATTGGACACTGCGCCTTCGAAGTACAGGCGTGCAGCATGGTGCTTTTTGATGACAACAAGCCTCATTGTCTCCTCAGATGGAATGTGAGACGAGCTGATCCATGTTCCTCCGCCTGTCTGCTGGATAGGAGAACATGCAGACGTACGAGAAGTGCGCGGACTATATCCAGACGCATTTCATGCTGCTCAGGGAGGAGCAATCCGAAGTGCAGAGAAACGTTACTGCAGCGAATTTGGGTAGTGGAGGTTGTATGTGCGGTGCACGCCATTCAAGAGTATGGAGCACGGTGAAAGTCATGACACGCGTGAGGACTATATCGAGCCTCTTCGAGCTGGCATCAAACTGTTCATGCAGGGGCGTCACTCTCCAAAGGAGCCGTATTCACACATTCATGCAGAGCGGAGGGTTGCGGAATGTTGAAGTTGTGGAAGGCTAGACGACGGCGTGATCAGGGCTTTCAAGCGCATGAAGCGCATGAAAGGGCAGAACAGAGACATGTCGCTGCAGGATTTGCATGTCTATACCGGCGTCAAGGTGGGGCAACAGATGCTGCAAGAGCTCAAAGCGGGCTGGCTCTTCTGCACCAGCAGTCACATCTCGTTTGCTGCTGGATCATGCAGTCTTGTAGCCAGTGCGGTCATGCTGCCCTCCTCATAGATGCACCATGTAATCACCTAAGATGTGCAAAGAGAACGCAGGTGGTGGGCGTGTTGAGTACGTGGGAAGGCCTACATGAGTGCTCACGTGTTGGTTCATCTGAACCGTTGAGCATTCAGTTTGATGGCCAGCTACAGGGTCCTGCAGGCCTTGTATACCGCATCGAGCTGCGTAAGGAGGAGGTGCCATACTTTGCGTATGTTTGCGTAAAATGCCGGCGTTTTTACTGTATGGCAGCACTGATGCATGTACAGTATGAACGTGATGTTGTGTATCTGTATTTCTGCATGGCGAAATTCTTGCTTGCACGACTGCTGCCAGATTCGTAAAGTGAGCTGGGAAAAGTCAAAGCAACTGATGTGCCCCATCGCATGCATGCTTGCTCATGCGAAGGAGAACTTCAGACTATACGCTTCCCAGCATCAGACGTGGGTCTCAAAAGCTCCCTGACGGAAGGTACGGAAGCCTTTTGTGCTTCTCAGATGATGACTTCAAGTCCTTGATTTGGGCAACGGATCCAATCTGAGTTCCAGGGATGCGCAGTCATAAATACAGGGAATGCTGCCCCTGCACGTCACTAACCCTGGCAAGGTTTGGCGGCGAGATCCTACGCTCATGTCTACGAAGGTTCACCAGCTTGCTTTCTTGTTGACCTGCTCCTGAAGTTTCTACTCGTTCGTCTCTGTCATGCAGTATGTATTCATTTGCAGTATCATGCCTTGCTTAGCGCAGGTCAGACCAAGATTTAGCTGCAGTGGCCCTTTAAAGTGGACAAGCGCAGAGCATGAACTAAAGCTTCCACACATGACATGTACGCTACATGAAGGCTAAGCCAATTGCAGAGCTCACGCAGCGATGGCAACCGTTTGCCTAGCGTGGTTGCTGAAGATTGTTTACTTCCTCACTGTTTTGTTGCTTTGTCTCAAGCATTTTCATGTTGTAGCCCTTGCTGTCGAATAATTCTTTGCCCTGGATTATTATGGTAGGGCGTTTGGTGTGGGTTCTTTCATTATTCAAGCTGGCAAGGATTCATCGTGCCGAGCGTGCTTGTTTTCGTCATAGACTTGTTTAATTTAGCTGCGACACATGCGTTTTGCTGACTTGGATTGATGTCTGTAGCATCTACGAAAAGAGGCACAGCTGGACATCCGACTGCCTTTCGATCCCTGGGACGACAGGCTTTCGCCCGGCAAGGCAGGGCATAGTTGCCAACCTGGATCCTTCTCATGGTGCAAGCATGCGACTTTGCAACGCTGTTTGCGGCATATGGCGCAGGTGTTCTGCTGCATTGAAAACGTGACAATCTACTTTGAGGCTTTCAGCATCACGTTTTGCACCGGCGAGAGCGTCTGCATCTGCATGTGCCTTTGTAAGCCTGTGCAGGCATACCGACATGTGTTGATTGCGCTCCAGAACATGAGGGCACCTGACGTATCGACCCTGAGTGGAGTTTACACGACAAGCATTGTTCAGGTTGTCCTCCTTTTTTCAGGTGCCTTTTCAGCACACACTGCTGAGCCCACAGCCAGATCCTTTGCCTCCGACATACCTCAAGGAAGTCCTGGCTTTGTGCTTTCAGTCTTGTCTGTGCTTGTAGAACCCTTCCGGAGAACAACTCAGTTGTGAATGCACATGGCTGACGTCACTCCAGGGGAATGCAGATCCCATCAGCTGCATCAACTCCTTTTTGTAACTGTAGCTGCGTATACTACTGTAGCGGCGTGGCCAGCGAAATCACAAACTCAAAATTTGCCAAGCGATGTGGGGCTCAAACGGAAAGTACAAAACTGCGACGGAGCAATTTTGCAGGCCGGCGGTTCCATGTTAGAAAGTTCTCGGTCAAGCGGATGTGGGTTCATGCAGGTTCAAGAACGTGACGGAACTTATCAGCTGCAATTGCCATCACGTTGATGAAAATGTCAGCCTCCGATCGATGCATGAACAAATTACACCATTCGGCTCACAGTCCCCTTCAAGTGCGATGCGAACCTGATTTCCGAAAGCTTCTGCCAGATTCTACCATAACTCAGCATACGCATTGTATGATTCGACTGCCTAATGCCTAGAAAAACTTCTGAAGGCTCCGAAACTATACAAGTCAGAGGTCTTAGCATTCCATGTCAAGAGGGTGTTTTTCAGGGTAGGTTTTAATGGTGTGCCGAAGTTGAAGCATCTGCAGTGCTGCAAGGCTTGTAGACCTGACCCCAAAGACAAAAAATTCATGCAAGCAAGCAAGCTGGCAAGCTGTCTTGGCCTCTCTGAAGCAACGTGTGCCAGATTTGCCTGTTTTGCAGAGGACGACACCGACATGTTTCACTTCCACAACGTGTTCTCCAGTTGTGAGAAGGCTTACCTGCATTCAGTAGCGTGTATCATGAGAGAGTTTGCAAGTGCTGCATTGTGGCTGATGCCATCTTTGTCGAATTTGTGAATGAGTGCTGCTTGGAAGAATCTGGTGTCTCTTGCAAGGCTGATTTCTCAGCTCCGAAGTCTTTTCGCATCTTGGCAGAGTGGCCCCCAGCTCTGCGACAGCGCAGGGCCCAGCACACAACAGATCAGCGCCTGCTGTGACAGTACCGTGCTCAAGCCTTTTTGAGGGCGTTGGACCTGGACCCATCTCAGCTGGATGCTGTGCAGCATGTGCATCACTTGGCAGTGACAGCACCTGAAGATGCTTCAAAAATCGGGAAGACATTTCGTGCAAGGCGCTGACCCACCAGATGGCCTTGATCCAAGGGCCGCCTGGTACCGGGAAGCCCCGGACCTGGAAGCTGTGTGAGGAATTGCTGGGACGTGCCTTCATGTTTCACGAGGACATTTGTCGGCCTGAAGATTGTCCAGGACGCGTGAAGACGCTCTCAGATCTCAGCGCTGAAGACATTCATCTTCAAAAACTGCGAGAGGCGATCCTGGACAACACAAGACTCCTGCGGCATTCACCGGTCCTGGTGGTGTGTTACACAAACCATGCTCTGGACCAGCCGCACCGGCAAGCCTTGTGTGGCTTCATTGTTGCATTTGCCAACGAAAGCGTTTGTCACCCTGCGAGGTTCCTGGAGGGAATCTTCAAGTTCTGCGAAAGTACCGTGCGGATAGGCGACAGAGTTGTGGTAGCACTTGGAAGGTTGACTGCTCGAAACAGTGCACGTCACTTCACGCGCTCTGCAAGGTTCGCGATCAAAGAGCGAGCAGATGATGCGGAGAAATCTCAAGGAGCACTCTTTCAGTTGCTGATGCTCCAGATTCTGTTCGCCAGACCACTCTTCAGGAGCTTGTCATGGGAGTGCCACCAAGCAGGGAATTCAATCAGGCACCATTCCTTTTGCTTCCTCACGAGTTCCTCAAGCACTTCGAAACAGCGCTTCTGCGCCTGCCTTGTCTTGACTATGATGTGAGATCTCTGTCACAGGCACGGAAAGTTCTGACGGATCGTGCGAATCTCAGCACTGGCACTCTGTTCAACCAAGCCTTGTTTCGCCTGCGTACATAATTTTGGACAGGTATCACATGTAGGCTGGCGAGGGTATTTGTTTTCAGGTCGAGACTACCTGCGAGACGAGCTCACAAAGGCAATGCAAAGGCTGAAGATTGAGTCAAAGCTTTCCCGACATTCAGCCAGGCCCTTGCCCAAGTTGACAGCCACACAGTATCTGCTGCCCAAGCGAAGGCTGGCAGGGCTGCACAAGGAGCAGAACTAGTCATGCGAAGTGTAGCAGCTGTCATAGAAGTAGAAGTGCCTTCCTCAGCTCCACTTCCCAAAGCTCTAAAGTTTCGTGCACAATGCGAAGGTGACTTGTATGGACCGGGTCTTGGGCACGGGCCATTTGCACATGAAGATACGACCAACTCCACTTCTCCAAAACGTGGCTGCTTTCCGACAACTCCAAATCTGGCACGAAGTTCATCAAATACAAGAAAGGTGTAACCAATCTGCTCGGCGGGCTACAAGTAAGATGGATAATGATTCGTTAGCAGGCAGGGAATGGAATAAAGCTGCTGCTGCGGCTCGCAAACTTACGATGCTACCCCTCCGTTTTCTTCAAGCTTGAGATCAGAGATCAGCCTAGCCTGGACGGATGAGCCTCATGACTCCTGTCAAAATGCTGTAGATCTCTTGACTGGCAGTCTCTGATGTCCGAGCAGCAGTTTGAGGAGTTCTACCAGGCTTGATGAGTTGTCAGGTCAATCAGGTGCACGGAAATGTCTTGTCGGGGATGGGCGCATTGTGTTTTCAAGCTGCTGGTGATGCAAGGGCTTCCGGGACTATTTGGGCGACTCCAAGGAAGATTTTCCAGAGGCCTGAGCAGTCTTAAGGCTCACAGGCCAGTACTGATGCGCTTAAGACTTGAACTCTTAGGATCCTTGGGTGGTCGATGATGACATCTGGTCCAGAGTGATGAAGGATGCATGGGGTGCAGAGTTCGCAAATCCAAATCAACTGAGCATGAATGAAGGCATGTTGTGATGTCAATGATTTTGTGAGAGGTTTAGAAGAGTAACCATGTACAGGAGTGGCTTGGAACAAGTGATCCATCAAGATTTGCTCCCGTTCCCAAACATCAGGGAGGTGGTCTTCCATCGGTGCGCCCCTACAAATGTGACACTACATGTCCAGTTGACAATGTCATGCAAGCTGCCCATGCCAGTTCAAGACGTTTGGCCTTTCGGAAGATAGTGATGATGACGACTATGCTCCATATGGCTCCAAAGACGATGGAGATGAGGAGGAGGCCTTGCTTCATGGCCTTCTAGCGGTGGTTCATGCGATAGCTGAGTTAGGCTGAGCAGCATGCATGTGTGACCTTAACCCCTCATGTGCCTGCCGTCCAAGCTAGCTTCAGCTAGATGAGCTGCTTGAGCATCTCAAGCTTTCAGGCTGCAAATGAAATTTACGAGCGCAAGCTCGATGTTGACAACGAGCAGGCAGAACAGGTGGATGAGAAACGCAAGCGCGCCACTAAGCCATCAGATGGCTGCGAAAGATAGTAGTATGTCATGTTGTGCAAGCCTCAGGAGCCGCATGGACTTCTTCCAAGAGCTGAACAACGCGTGGCAACTTGGTTGCAAAGTTTGCATGCATGACTTCATGATACTTCGTGTACTGTTGGTTCTGCGGAGGTTGCCCTACCTGGATGAGTACTACGAGACCTTGACCCCAGAGCTACGGAGCTTGGATTGGCGAGAGGAGGAGACCTGATCCAGAGTCCAGAGTCTTGCATCTCTTGCAGTCTTACAGCAGAACACGCTGCTTGGGTGCTAGAAAAGATTGTAGCGTCGAAGCGCGACTCGGAAGTGTGAATCCACAATCTCCCTGAGCATGGCTCGGTATCACTCAGCACAGAAGCTGTTGCGAATGTGCTGTTGATATCACCCGCAGAATGACTCCCAGAACTCTGCGCAAGGTGACAGCTAACAGGAGACATGGACAGAAGCAGTCTTCTCTAAACCCAGCACATGCACAGCCTGCCAGAATCTGCCAGAACTTGTGGCGACTGCTGCCTCCGCAACGGCGCGAAGTCTATCGCCAGTGGCTAGTCGAGGCCAATCAGCAAAGGCATGAGCGTAGAAGTCTCATTCCTTGATGTCGGGAGGCGCATGAAGAGGCACGGGGCATTTTGCCTGAGCTCGCCCACCTCCTGGAGCGAAATGCCGAAAGCAAAGCTGTGCCCTGGCCGAGAAGCCACACTCGCTGCATCCATTTCTTTACCTTAGACTTGGTGACACGTAGCTTTACAATAAGCACAATACAAACACCATCAGCCAGCAAGAGCACTGCCGACTCAACACAGTGTTCAGAGAGCGGGTCTCTCTGTAGTGTTCAAAGCTGTGAAGGCCTGCACTGGGGATCTGTAGTGACATTGGTAACTTCTGCAAGCTGAATCTCAAAGCTTCGAACCAATCCACAACACGACATTCAGGAGCAGCAATCATTAGTCGAACTGTCTGGCCTGAAAAAGACAGGTTGCCACGAGGTCACAGCACATGAACCGCTTTCCACTTATGAAAGTGCGCACCACAGCTATCATTACAGGTTCATAAAACTGCTGTGGCATGATGAAATTGCTTGTGATGTACTTTCTAGGCTCAGGGATGCTTTGATCTGAGATCTGAGGCTAGAAATAGACTAGACAACGAAGAATAGGATGGGTCGTTGTAGATGGGTGTGAGTCATGCTACAGAAATCTTTAAAGTCTCTACGCAGAGGCAATCTGAGGACCGAACTTTAATCCTCCAGCCCACAGCCGTTAAGTAACTTGGACAAGAACGCACACGCTCCCATGTCATGATCTTCAGCTCAGGCAAACTGCATATGTGAATGCATCACTCACCGCATCCGACCTCTGTGTAAGTCTGCGGTGGTCTTCGGGTTTAGGTTTAGGGCGGTCGAGTGTTTGAGATCTTGTGCACACAACGAGTCATTCAGCCTGCTAGTCCTGAAGTTCCAAACCTCGTCGTTTCATACTGTTTATAAAGCATGGGCGACCTTCAGTGATATTGTGAATTGGAGAGAGCTAAAAGGCAGAACGCAGCCATTGGATGCCAAGAAACGTTCATTTTGTTTGTGCAAGAAGCGCCAAGTTGAGTGCGCGCACTGCTTGACAGACTGAGGCTCTCGACCGGGACCGCAAGCTAGCTGTGCTTCGGGAAATGCAGGCCACGCCTCTATTGTCTTTTCACCTATAGGGCGTGCCCGTAACATGACAAAACAACACACAGCACAAATCTGGTGCATGCACCGTTGCAAAATGCGTTGAGCTTTGGCTTCTGCAAAGTTCCGGGAGAGGTCCTGGGCGCGTCCAGATGTCCTAAGATAGGTCTTGCAGGCTTCAAAGGTTCGCCAATAAGCACCCGGCAGTGGGACTCGCAGAGTAGAGGCTTCTTGTGAGTGGTGCAGGCAAGATGATGGCTGACAGTCCATCACGCAAGCCTGCCCCTTTGACTATGGCAGGTGGTGGGTATGACAACCACTGCGGTGTCCAAGTATCAGCAGCTCCTGAAGGACCAAATGAAGTGAGGTAGTGCTGCAGGTTCACATAGTGCACCGTACTCACTTGCCCACAAAGTTAGCCGCTGAAGCTGTGGTTACAGCTCTTCAGTTGGCGACTTGCACATGGCATACAGCATTTGCATTCCCGGGCATCCAGCTGTCAGACGCTGTCATTTACGCTACTCATCGCTCTTCCCATGGATTCGCTCTCGCACGCTGCGTCCCACCCACGTGCCCTGCCTTTCATAGACCTCTTCTCACAATAAGTAGCTCTGTCACTGTCGATTCTGCACTACTAGTATGCTCTCCCTTCCGCTGTCCAGGCTGAAGTACCCATAACGCATGTTTGGGGCATTGAAGTTGAGTGGATGCAGACAGGTTCTAATTTCTTGGACTGGTAGCCTGCTTGGCAGTGCACTCAGCACCCTAGTGAAGTAAGCGAAGGCGGGTAATGCAGCAATTAGTAACAAAATACATCCATACAATCCTCGCCTCTATACAGAAAGGGATTCGCTTCTCCTGTAGTTGAATTAATAAACAGCTTTGAACATAAAGCCCGAAGCCTTGTGATGTTGGTAAGTGCCTTTCAATCCTTCATTAGATAAGGTACATTCAGAATCACCATAAATGACATAAGGACGTGATAATTTCTTGTGGTGCTTATGAAAACTGATGTTTTCTTTCTCTTCTGGCATCTCTATTACTTGAACCTCATTTGCCCACAACCTTTCAATGAATGAGTATTTGATACCTACTGCCGCGGTGGGACAGTTCAGCAGGCACCCAAGCTGGCAAAAGTATGCAAACTAACAAGTGTGGATCGACATGAAATTCTGGGATGAGTGTAAGCAGGGGTGGTGCAACTGCATGACTGCAAAGAGACGGATTAATGATTTATCGTGAACACAGCATTACCTGAGACACAGGAGCTTCGACCAGAGGTCGTCATCGTCGAGGAGGCTGCTGAGGTTCTCGAAGCCGGTGACCTGGAGATGAGCCGGAGATGACTTCCCGACATGTAATGCTACAGCGCTTCCTGTCCCGCCGTCATTCGTCAATTCGGCTTCAGGCCATTTGGGAAGGAGGGGTTCACATTCGCACATGTTAGCCAACAACGCGGGCACCTGGGTGCTGCATCAAGCTAGCTTGCGCATTTGTAAGCAGTCAGGGATGCACAGCCTAGCCATAGCATACGCTTAGTAGAGTCGGTTTGCTTTGTCTGGAGCCCGGTGCAGCTCTCAGCCACTCCACAGACTTGCATGTGCAAACGACGTGTGAAGGATGGCATTAGCTTGCGGGTTGGGAATGCTGCCTGACTGACGGAGACGACATTGTATCACTTGCTTGTCATGCTGTTGCCAAGTGTAAGCCGAAATCAAAGCTTGCACCCAGCAGTATGACCCCGAAACCAATGTTGTGCTTGTGCGCGATGCTGGGGGCAAAGGCCATGGGCTCAACAGCTGCGGGGTGTGCTGGAGACTGTGAGAACTGACTGGGCCTCAAACAGCTATGCGTGAAAGCGGTCTTGCATTAGTGGACCAAAGTGGCCTATTATCAGATCAGCAGCACCAGTGCTGGTGGCAAGGGCTTGTCGTCAGATCAAGCTTTGTTGGAGATGGGCCATGCTTGAGCACACTATGAGAACGGCTACCACACAACCCCATCCTTAATTATCTTAATTAGCTTCCACACACCCGTGTTATAAAAAGATAGAGCCATTTCGGGTGAACACTAGCTGGATGCGTCAAATGCCAAGGCGCAACATGCACTCGAAATGGGTCGAGCTGGCAGGATTTTCACAGATGGACGGCATGTCAGAGTAATCAAGCCAGGTGCGGGCATCTATGCTTGATCCAAAGAGAGAAGGAGCAGAAGGCCGTTAAGACTTTCACCGTGAACGCTTCAGCTGTGCCCTCAGATTTTACTACAGGCCCCTGGGCCTTGTACCCATTCCCTCTGCCTCACCAGGCCGCGTGACCAAAGCAAATGTACCTGGTGTCCCAGACCGTTCGGTGTCAGCAGACAGTTTGTCATGTAGTTTTGATGACTAGCGCGGCCTGGGGGCCGGAAACTATGGGGGACAGCATTCTGGGATGCTTAAGTGGCAGGTCCTCTCGCACCTTGCAAGCATGCATCGAGGCTCCGGATGACGACAGCGTGGCACCTGAGTCTGGATCTCAGGGTGAGGGTAGTGGAGCTTTAGGACGTCACGCTTACGGAATCTGAGCGGGCCTGCTCGCAATGTGAATTGAGGATGGTCAGTCGAATGAGTCTAATGTTGTTACGGCGGCCTGTGCGCTCAGAGATCATAGTAATCAAGCTAGGTCAACTGCACTATTTTCCCGATCAGACTGGTGGTCATGAGTTTAAGAGCAGTTCTTCAAATACATGCATATGGGCTGCCTCTGTTACACTTCGCTGAGTTGTTCTGTCAGTCGTTATTGCGCAGTCCCGGCGGCAGTGTGATTAAGGGATATCGGGGATTTGGACTGTTCCTAGATGTGCCTACTGCAAGACATTGCTTGCACCCCCGTCGTGCCCAGACTGCAACGCTATGCTGTACATGGCGGCGATGATAAAGTGTCACACAACGCCAGCAGCCCAGCACACCTGCTACAGGCGTGGGAGCGCATCAGCTAGCACAGAGTAGTACCCGCTGCAGATCTGCTTCGGCGTTGCCAGCGGTGAAGAGGTTGCCTGCTTTCCCGTGCATGTCTGAAAGCAAGGCAACGCATTCTGGGATCTGAGGTGCTTTTCGAGGAGGCAGACGTAGTCATGGCTGCTGCTCAAACCAGAATGCAGTAGCGCAGAATTTCGCTGTGGTGCTGACATCGGCAGGCCCAAAGCGTGGGCTCCCAAATGGACGAGGTTTGTTGATGCAACGTTCAGCAATCATGTGCCCCAGAGATCCTGAGACAGTGTAAATTACTGGTCCCTCTCTGTGCATTTACACACCCCAGGAAAGCACTTTATAGCCGCACACGATGCTGCATGGGAAGTTGAAGCTGTTCGCGATGTGCAGCTGTGAACAGTTATCGCCATCATTGGCTCAAGGGTCAAAGTTTCCTCTGCATGTTTCTAGTCTCAGGCTCTGCAACTCAGCTTCATAGCCGACATGGTGGCTGAGCATACAGTAGCCAGATGGAATCAAGTTGAACTTTCCTTAAGCACAGATTTGGTTCAGCACAGATTGAAAGCTCCAAGCACGACCTTATCGTCCAGGCTCTGCTAAATTGCCTTGCTGGATTTGACAGAGTTGCTGGAATCCCGTAACAGTGCGGCAGGGAGATGAGGCGAGGGCCAGTGAGTCGGCTAATTAGGTGGGCATCCACGCAGCAATTTACCTTGACTCCAGACGCAACCTGAGTAACTGACAAATTTGCAAGGCGCTTGGCGCCCCTCGCTTTCTTGGTGGCAGGCCCTGCCTCTCGTCTAATGTGTGCTGGGATGTCCTTTCAACTTTGCAGAGGTTTGCCGTTATGTTCATCGCCTGGCGCTGCTTCTGTTGATGCAACAGGGGCCTCGCAGGCAGCGGCTACTCTGCCTGGGATAGTCCGCAAAGCTTCAAATGCCAGAAGGTCGAGATGCCTCAGCAGGAAATCAAAGCCTTGGCGCGCGCCATTCGTGAGGCTCAATGGCAAGCAAAACATGATGCACTTTACATTGTGCGTTCATTGCTGTATCTTCGCAAATTCCAAACCCATTCGGTTGTGAGGTTGATGCACTGCGAGAGGTCGTGAGACTCACAGCCTTGATGAGCAACCATAATTTTCTTTCGGACCCTCGCACTCTTGTGATGCATGATGTCCAGGTCCAGCAGAAAGGTACGATTCCAAATTTTGGGCGGTTAGTCTGGAGCCCATCTGGAGCTGCATGCAAAGCATCTAGCAATGACCGCTCGAGCTTCAAAGCCTCACTATGACGCCTTTCCTTAAGCAGTGGATGTATGCTATAGGCCGACAGAATCGTGAAGCGCGGACTCAAGACAGCAGGGGCCGAGGATGGCTCCCAGTTGGAGAAGGTGCGGCACCGTCATCAGCACGTTTGGAAGGTGGCTTCTTGTTTGCCCTAGCACCCTTTAATCGATTCAAACAGCCACCGAGAGGCACTCGACGCACCCCTCGAAGCGCTCTTCCATGAGCAGCTGCGTACGTTGTCGGTTAGATTCCCAGCACCGACATGCGACAGTTCGCTTGATTTCCAGTGCGTAGTCAGTGCGTTCTGAGAGAGGCCAGAGCTGCTGATCGCTATGACGCCATCATGGCCACAAGGCCGAACCCAGTGGAGGCCATGCAAACGGGGCGAAGTGCAAGGTCCTGCAGAAGAAAGAACGTAACAAGTCGGCTAGGCCCGTCGAGCGGCCGAGGCAGAGTTTGTCGAAGGCAGAGTGCTGAAGTCACTTCGTAGTTTTTGCGCCCTTGAATCCACCATGCGCCAGATCAGGTGCTAAGCCCCTTGTGCGACCAAGCGGCGGGTGGAGTTATGAGGCCGAGGGCATCTCTTTCACCAGTTCACAAACTCCATACCTTGATTTCCTCCAAGTTGCTGAAAGTGAAATTCATCTGGTGCCATGCAAAGGTCAGTACATTTGGGGAATTTCCTCAAGAGCCTCCTTTTGTCAACCGAGGATGCTGTTCATGTCCCGCATGCGCCTCTAAAGCTTTTTTGCTTGGACTTGGCTTGCTCGAAAAACTCCACCAAGGTTAGGAAGATTGCCCCACGCATATGAGACGCACCAACCCAACCTGCATTAAGCTTCGTCTCTGTCCGGTGATGGCGTTCAACTACATGGCATGCGGCGCCGGGCCAGCAGCCACCAATGGTAGAATCGGGAATCAAAGGCCTACTCACATCCGCTTGAATACACAAACCTCCATCATGAGATGGCATGTCAGCCAACATCACCGGTCACAATGCAAGCTGCAGAATTCTTGCATGCTGAAGCAAAAAGGGGTGGAGGCTGGAGGGTTGGCAGGTTTCGCCTACAGTGACAGGCTGGACAGGGCTGAAGGCCTCGAGAGCTGCCAACAATCCGCCTCAAATCTCCAAACCTGCATTCACTCAACCTTCAGGTTGCCAAACCTTGGAGAAGTCCTCCAACTCCATTGCAATCTGTACCTCAATTTTTAGATTGAACGGCTCGGCCCTCCCTTGACCAATTCTCCAACTCTTCAAGCCTCAGCTTTGAGCCTTCAACCCGGTGGATGGGGGCCGGGAGAGCCACAGGGCTGCCTTCAGAAGGTTGAGCGCCGGAGAATTCAAAAGAAGACCAGCAGCCCAATTTCAGTTTTCTGTACGGGCGTACAACGACAGCAGGCCTCCGACAATAGTTCATGGAGCCTTTATAAAAACACTTGCTAGAGCTAGTTAAAAGTTCGGGCGTTGAAAAGCACTCGCCCAATACATTCCTGCTGATGCCAAGTAAAGGCCGGTCACCTGGCATTTGAGAAAACCATGGCCAATATTTCTGCTTGCAGTTTCAGGTGGAGCTGCAGGATCTGCTGGGCCGCATCGCTGGCAGCTCCAGACTGGTTCCAAGCATGAACAGTAGCAAATTCTCGCGACAATAAATGAGATCAAAGAGAGGGTGACAACACAAGTTGGCGACAGACATCCCGACCCAAACTCTGAGGCCTAGACATGCAGCTGGTGCAGGAGCAGGGCAGGCCACGTGTCTGAGATTGGGATCGTAACTGCTTGACCGCGTCATCGCTCAGGCAAGGCCAAGGCAAGCACGTGACGCTGGAGGCAAGCTGCCACGATGTGTTGCTACAGATCTAGCGAATGAAAACATATAGAATCACAGCGTCACACTGAAGCACTGCAGCTTGAACGCATGCGCCAGCTTCCTCCGTCGGGGACTTGTTTACATCTTTCCAGAAAACCAACCCAAAAATTGGCTGCCGTGCCCAAGCTACAACAGCTTGGACTGTTTCCATCTGTAGCAGAACGCTAGCGGCTGTGAGCAGCTGTATCA